GGCCCACAGCTGAACCACGGGTGGTCAAACTGGTCCATCCAAGCCCTGGCATCTGATAACCTGATCTTCCTCTTCCCAGACACCCTATAGAACATACTGAAGATCCCAATATTGCGGTACCCCTCGGAGGCCTTAGGGAGCAGCGCCATGAGAACCCACTGAATCTGAGGCGGGAGCTCTCCTAGGCACTCAGATATCCCAAGAAGGTATATGAATACTTGTACTCCTCGCTCGGGCAAGATAGGCGACGGCAGTGAAAGCCATCTAGGCTGACTGCTGACCTGGTGGGGTACTTCTTGCTTATGTCCTGCACCGCGGTGACAGATGGCAGCGGCAATGCTGGCTGCACAACGGGCGTGCGATGATGAGGCTCAGGTGTGGCCTCCCACAACTGGTCGTCTTTGCGGTTATACTCATCTATCGAGGCCTGCACGCTGTTAGACCTCACTCCTTCAAACACATATACTTCAGGCTCCCATTTGACCTGTTCTTTGCAAAATCGATGTGCTGGGCCCGCTCCTTTGTTAAGTGCATTTGTGACCCAATCTCTCCAACTTTCCCTGTGCTTGCTGTGGGGGTCTGAAATGACTGCCCTGGCACATCCTACCACCAAGCCAAGTTCTTTTTCAAGCTCGAAGCATAAGTCGTTACGATTCCCAGGATCGAGCCCCGACTGGCAATGCAGATACGGACGAACCCGTCGAGCTATGTCCTGAATAGTCCGAAAACTGTCGCTGGTACTAGCATGCTCTAGTACATGATGTGGCTTGGCGGTAGCAAACTTGCGACAGAGACTGTCTAGATCTCTCGCGCGCTCTGCAAAGATGGCCGGCTTGGCGAAGTCCACCAAGCTCAGCAGCTGGATCATTCGCCTGATACGTGACGCAAGCCAGGAAAGGCCATGCGCGACTGCTGCGAAACATTTGTGAACTGGACTCCTCTGGACCAGCGGGGCGAGACGTGGTTTCGGCAGTAATCCTCGAACTCCTGGCCTGGTGAGTTTCGATTTCGTCCGATCCGCAACCTCCCTCTCCGCCTTCTGAGCCCAGTATCTGTGCAAAACTCCTGAAAGTCTCCTCGCTCATGCTGGCTTCATTCTCCTTTCTAAAAGACTAATAGATTCTACCCCCCCCCCCCCGGACTTATCGGGCCCCCCGCGCGTGCTGCAAATTACATATGATTCTGACCACATGTCCATCCTAAATATGAATTCATACCATCCCAGCCAAGCCGGGTCCCCCCCCCTGCGGTTCCCTTGTAAAAAACACTATGCGGTGACATGTTTTGTTCTAACATAGCACTTTTTCAAAGATCCTTTGCAAAACAAGCGAAGTGCACACGCGCGCGTCGTGGCGCGCGCATGCCGAAATCCTTCAAAAACCTTCGGTTCCGGAGAGATTTCAAAATTGAAGTTCCAAAAAAACAGATAAAAAACACATGGTTTCGCAACACTGATTCAAAAAACAAAAAAACTTACGCGCGAGCTCTTGCGCAATCTTAATTGCTTCTGGTCCTTTTTGTCCTTCTTGGGGGTGCTGTCCTCCAGACCCTTCTTGTCCTTCTGGTGGAAGCTGGGTGTGAAGAGCGCACTCTTCTTGAACCCCTCGCTCTTCGACGGCCTGGGCGACCTCGCAGGCCGTGGATGTGGCGAGTAGTCCTTCTCCGCCTCCAGGTGGCAGCGAGGCGATTTGGCACGCCGAGGGTACAATCCGGCATCCTTCTCCATATCGTGAGTCAGCTCCTGGATCCGCTTACTGCTCAGGCTGCTGCCCTGGAACCCCCAGCCCATGTCCGCCGCCCCATTCTTCACAGCATCTCACAGAGATGCAGAACGACGAGCCGGCACGCAGACCTTGGGCGAACTCGCTCAAGGCGCTCGCCGAGGTTCCTCGATAGGATGGCTCCGTGCACGAAGAGCTGGTGGTCCATGAGCCTCGGCGCATGGCCGGGGGCGGCAGCGCGGCCCGGAAGAGCGCTGCCCGAACCCCCGCTGCTGGGGGGCAGAGCCGCTTGGAGGAGGTGGAGACGGAGGAGGAGGAGGAGGAGGAGGAGGAGGAGGAGAAGGAGGAGGAGGAGGAGGAGGAGAATGGAGGAGGAGGAGGGGGGAGGGGGAGGGGAGGGGGAGGGGGAGCGGGAGGGGGAGGGGGAAGGATGGGATTAGGAGGGCGGCTGACGAGGGGGGAGGGAAGACGAAGAGGGAGGAGGAGGAGGAGAGGAGAGGAGGAGGAGGATGGAGGAGGAGAGGAGGAGGGAGGAGGAGGAGAGGAGGAGGAGGAGGAGGAGGAGCGGGAGGGGAAGCAGGGGAGGAGGAACAGGAGGAGGAGGAGGAGGAGGAACAGCAGCAGCAGCAGCAGCAGCAGCAGCAGCATAAGCAGAAGCAGAAGCAGAAGCAGGAGCGGCAGCAGAGCAGGAGCGGGAGGCAGGAACATGTGGATGATGATGATGATGATGATGATGATGATGATGATGATGAGGAGGAGGAGGTGGAGGAGAAGGACGAGCAGGAGGAGGAGGAGGAGGAGGAGGAGGAGGAGGACGTAAGAGGAGGCAGAGGAAGCGGGGAGGAGGGAGGAGGAGGAGGAGGAGGAGGAGGAGGAGGAGGAGGAGGAGTGAGGAGGAGGAGAGAGGGAGGAGGAAGAGGGAGAGGGTAGGAGGAGTAGGAGGAGGAGCAGGAGGAGGAGGAGGAGGAGGAGGAGCAAGATGGAGGAGGAGGAGGAGGAGGAGGAGGAGGAGCACTGCGACGACGATAAGGGGAAGAAGGTTGAGGCGAAGGAGGAGAGGGAGGAGGAGAAGGAGGAGGAGGAGTAGGAGGAGGAGGAGGAGGAGGCGAAGGAGGAAATTTCAGCAGGAGGAGGAGGAGGAGGCCGAGGCTGGTGTCTGGCTAGCGCCATCAAGTTTTATGACTGCAGTCATGCCTTGGGGGTGCCTGGCCTGCCCCAGAACCTTTAGCACCAGTGGCCAGCGAACAATACGGCGTCCAACCTGGTCGCACTTCCTGCGCTGTCCTTGGTGACGACGGCGCAGCTGGTGCTCGGCGGACTCGCCGGGCACCCCGGCGACCACGCCGCAGCTGGGACACGCCCTGCCCAGCCCTCGGGGGCCTGGACGTGGCGCACCGGCAACACCTGTTACAGGAAAGCAGGGTGTCGCCCTGCTCGGCCTCGGGCCGAGGGGTGGGCTCACACCATTCGGTATCGTGGGTGTGGGCGAACTCAGGCACGCGCTGAAAGCTCGGCGGTACGTGTGCCGTTTGGCAACTCTTCCGATGCAGGATGCTGTCCGGGGCCACCTTCGACCTCAAGCGTCGCGTGCACTGCCACCTGGAGTGCCCGACTTGGACGAACTCGTGCGCTATCTGGCGCATGGGACCTCCATTCGGCGCTGGTCGCTGGAGGTGTTTCCGTTCTTGCTGGGGCGCTGGCCCGGACTCCAACACACGAGAAGCAGCATGCATAAATTTGCGGGCTCCTAGCTAGCTGGTCTTCGGCGAGCGCCCCACAGGGCACATGCATACCGTGCAGCCTAGCAGCTCGCTTGACGGGCTGGCCCGCCTGATCATGGAGCTAAAGGGCCTACTCTGAGGGGCTACTTGGGCTAGCCTGGACCTCAAGACCTCAACTTGGGCTTTCTGCCTGACCAGGGACTCGCCATCGCTCGGACGTGTGCTTTTTTTCGTTGTCGGAAAAGGGGAGGAGGAGGAGGAGGAGGAGGAGGAGGAGGAGGAGGAGGAGGAGGAGGAGGAGGAGGAGGAGGAGGAGGAGGAGGAGGAGGAGGAGGAGGAGGCGGAGGAGGAGGAGGAGGAGGGAGGGAGGGAGGGGGATGGGGGAAGGGGGGGGGGAGCGGGAGAGGGAGGGGGAGGATGGGAGGGCGGTTGACGAGTGGGGGGAGGGAAAAGGGAGGAGGAGGAGAGGAGGAGGAGGAGGAGAGGAGGGAGGAGGGGAGGAGGAGGAGGAGGAGGAGGAGGAGGAGAGGAGGAGGCGGAGGAGGGGGGAGGAGGGAGGTAGGGAGGGAGGGAGGGAGGGGAGGGAGGGAGGGAGGGAGGGAGGAGGGCGGGAGGAGGAAGGAATGAAGGAAGGAAGGAAGGAAAGAGGAGGAGGAGGAGGCAGGAGCAGGAGCAGGAGCAGGGGCATGGGGCAGGAGGCGAAGGCCCCGTCCTGCCTCTCGGAGCGCCTCCCCAGAACCAGCAAGCTTGCCCTGTGGGAGCCCCTCCAAAGGCCACGCCTTGCCTGGCCACCCAGAGGACCGCACTGCAGTCCCCCATTTGCGTGGCGGTCCCATCGGTGCATTCGGCTGCGAGCCCGAATGCGCCGTGCTCGGCGTGCACGGCCGCCTGGGCCGGTAGGGTGCCCAGCAATCGCCGAAGCTGGCCTGTGGCGGGGCCCCGTTGCACAACCACGACCCCCCCCCCCGATGAAGCGACTCGAGAGGCGAGGTCGAGGCCGAGGACGAAGGCGGAGGAGGAGGAGGAGGAGGAGGAGGAGGAGGAGGAGGAGGAGGAGGAGGAGGAGGAGGAGGGGCAGGAGGAGGAGGAGAGCGAGGGAGGAAGGAGGAGGAGGAGGAAGGAGGAGGAGGAGGAGGAGGAGGAGTTGAAGGAGGAGGCGGAGGAGGAGCGGCAGCAGAAGAAGGAGCGGCAGCTGAGCAGGAGGAGGAGCAGCAGAAGAAGGAGCGGCAGCAGTGCCAGAGCGGGAGGCAGGAGGATGGGGAGAACGAGACGGAGGAGGAGGATGATGATGATGAGGAGGAGGAGGTGGAGCGAAGGGGGAGGAGGAAGACGAGGAGGTGGAAGAGGAGGAGCAGGAGGAGGAGAAGGAGGGAGGAGGACGACGAGGAGAAGGATGAGGCGAAGGACAAGGAGGAGTAGGAGGAGGACGAGGAGGAGGAGGAGGACGACGAGCAGGAGGAGGAGGAGGGCAGGAGCGGGAGCAGGAGCAGGAGCAGGAGCAGGAGCGAGAACGGCGACGATCAGAAGGAGCAGGGGCAGGTCGCACGCCTGCGCCCAGGCAAGCCGTGCCCGAGGGCCCGGGCGACGGCGGGGGCACCGCCGGGGGCGACTCCGAGACCAGCGGCTCGGAAGGACCCCGGGGCTCCCCTGATGATGTTCCAGCCTGCTTCAGCCTCGATCACGCGAAAGAACTTCGAGCTCCAAGAGGGGAACGAGACTCGAGGGTTTTCACGTGTCGGGCCGTGGGAGACCCTTGCCCGACACTGTTTCGACACTCTCTCGACACTTTTCCAGGTGCTCGAAGTTATTCCTGGGATGTGGTCTTCTAGTACGGTGGGAGCAACATAAGGCTCCCCCCCCCTTTGTGCTCGGCCTCCTCGCCAGCCCCAGTGCTGGCCCCTCTTCCCCTGAGATCCGACGTCGCAGCAAACACAAGTGCAACATCTCGGAGGAGGAGGAGGAGGAGGTATCCATACCGCTACCCTTCGCCTGTTTTCCTGTTTTGGGGGGCCTCATGGGAGGCCCTCGTCGCCGCCGCCGGATTCGCCTCGAAGTCCTGGTCGGAACGCGCCTCAGGGGATGTGTCCGGGGAGTCGCGGTATCGGTGCTTCTTTGGTGTCCCACATCTTCCTTTGAGGTTCGACGTCGCAAGAAAAGGGAACACGTCAGAACATCACCGCCGAAGCCCCAGACCCCCTCTCTCTGCGCGATGGTTCGAGTCGGATATCGATCTGTGAGGGTCCTCGGGCCCGAAATCGGGCGGGGCCGCCCGTGGTGGAAGCATTGTCGCGCTTGCATCGCGGGGTCAAGGAGAGCTTATCGTTCCTCTGGGCCACTCTCCTCGTCGACGTCGCCGCCGCCGCTGTCGTCTTCCTCCTCCTCCTCCTCCTCCTCCTCCTCCTCCTCCTCCTCCTCCTCCTCCTCCTCCTCCTCTTTCTCCTCCTCGTCCACTTCCTGGCGACCCAGCCTTCTGCAAGGACATGGGCTGTTCTCACTGCCCTCACGGCGGGTGCATGGACGACCTCGGACCGCCTGCACGCGAGCCCGCAGAAGCGCCAGCGCATATGCGGACATGACCGCCCCGACTGCAGCCACCACTACTTCCAGTGCCCGAAGATGATCCACCACATCGCGCGTCCCCTCGGCCGGCTGAGCGAGTGTCTTGGTGCGCATGGGCCTCCCAGACCTCCACACGCCCTGCGACGGCGAGAACGGGATCGCCAGCACGGCCACCCGCATGGGTATCGCCCCCCGCACGCACCTATTCATGAAGGACGCCATCATCACGGACCCGAGCGCATTCTACAGCGCCGCCGCCGCCGCCCGCCGCGCCTTCCGCCTCCCCGTTGACCTGAGCGGAGGTCTGGGCCGCGCGCCGAGACGTGGCCAGCCAAGCGGACGAACGCGGCCGCCAGCTACGTTCGCTCCACCTCCTCCTCATCCTCTCCCTCCTCTCTTTGTCGTCGTCGTCGTCCTCCTCCTCCTCCTCCTTCCCCTCTTCCTCATCCCTCCCCATCCTCCTCCTCCTTTCCTCCTCCTCCTCCTCCTCCTCCTCATCATCATCATTATCCTCCTCTTCCTCCTCCTCATCCATCTCACACCTCCTCCTCCTCCTGCTCCTCCTCTTGCTCCTCCTCGTTCTCCTCCTCCTCCTCCTCTTCTTCCTTCTGCTCCTGCTTCTCTCTTCCTCCCCTTTCCTTGTTTCCTCCTCCTTTTGTGCCTGATCCTTTACGCGGCGTTCGGGCGCCCGGCGGGCTGCCGGCTTCCTGCGCGGGCGGCCGGCGCGGCCAGCTTACCTGCCGAGTGCGAGGGTCGCTCCGTCTCAACGCGCCACTTGCGCCACTGCCCGACGGGCGTTGGTGGGAGTTGCGCCCAAACACCGTAGAGCCAAAACCCCAGGTGGCGCCCCAACTCACGAGGTTGTCCGGAGCTCAGCGAGATCTCGGAGAGGGCCCCTGCGCTGCATCGTCGTCGCGCCGCTCTCTTTTCCTAGTCGCGGTGTTCGTCATCATCGTCTTCGTCCTCCTCTGCATAGTGTTGTTCGTCCTTCTCCTATTCCTGCATCTCCTGCCTTCCCCTTCCTGCTGATCATCATCGCGCCGCCTTCTCTTCCCTTTCTTCCTCTTACTGCTTTTCCTCATCATCCCAGCGTTCCCCATCCTGCTCCTCCTGGGCCCCCTGCTCCTTGCCTCCTCATCATCATTATCTAACTTCTCCGCCCCAGCGCCGCCCCCGAAGTCCGTCTATTCCCCCTACTCCCCATTCTCTTTCCCCTCCTCCTCCTACTCATCGTCCCCCCTTTCCGCCGTCCCGCCCTTGCCTGCCCCCCTGTGAATCGCCTCTTCTTGGTCCAGCTGTTCCTTGCCGTCGTCGTCTTCGTTGTCTCTGGGTACAGATTCATCATGGTTTTCCTCTCCTCCCGTTTATCCTTCTCTTGCTCTTTTTCCAATTTCCGCCTATCAAGTTTTTGCCCATCCAGTTCTGCTCCAGGCAGTTGGATCACGATGGTGTGCAGAGGCGCCCGGGAAATCTCTGAGCCCGACAGCGTATGATCATTCATGCATTACGGTTCTTTTCCGACTCCTTCTCATCGTTTTGGTTGTCTTCGTTCCCGATATCACCACGCCGTTCTTAGCCAGCATCGCCAACACCAGCATCACCACCTTCATCACCCTACTCCTTTGCCAGTGCTCCTTGTCCTCGTCCTTGCCGTACCCCCCTCATCCGATGACGCAGTACCGTCATCATTATCACCATCATCATCACCATCCTCGTCTTCACTATCATGAGCATCATTATCATCCTCGCCACCATCGTCATCATCACCATACCCATCATCCCCATCATCATCGTCAGCATCATCATTACCACCACCATCGTCATCACAATCATGATCATAACCATCATCCTCGCAATCATCATCACCATCACCATCACCAGCACCAGCACCATCATCATGATCCCCATGGTGCCAAATATCATCATCATCACCTTCACCATGATTACCATCCTTATCAGCATCACCATCAGCATCAGCATCATTTCCATTACCACCAAACATCAACAAGGCTATCATCATTATCATCAGCACCATCATCACCAACACCGTCATAGCCAGCATCAGCATCATAATACACATCACCACCATCAACATCATCCATATCATCATAACAGTAATCAGCACCATCGTCAACACCACCACCATCATCATCATCATCATCAGCACCATCCTCGTCATCAACATCACCAGTTTGGTCGCCATCATCATCATCGTCACCACCATCCTCACCAGCATCGTCAGCACCATCGTTATCAACACCAGCTTCTTCATTACCAGCACCATCATGAGAGCCAGCATCAGCATCACAACCAAACACATCACCATCACCAGCGTCACCATGATGATCATCGTTATCATCACCATTACCATCATCACAATTGCTATCAACATCATTGTCATTAACATCATCATCATAGGCATCACTTGCATCATCAACATCATCATCAACAACACCAGCATCACCTTCACCTTCAAATTCACCATCATCCTCATCACCATTGTCATCATTTTCAGCATTATCGCCATCATTCGCATCACCATCATTATCATCAACATGAGCACCATCAGCATCGCCATCCTCATAATTTCCATCATTATCACCATTATCATCACCACCATCACTATACCATCATCATCACAACCACTATCACCATCACCAATACCATCATCATCACGAGCATTGTTATCATAACCATCATCATCACCATCATCACCATCATAATCATAACCACCAGCATTATCGCCAGCATCATCAACATCAGTTTCATCAATATCGTCTGCATCTCCATCAGTATCATCACAATATCATCATCACCACCATTACCATCATCATCACCATCATCACCATCACCATCACTACCATCACCCCCTTCACCGTCATCATTACCACTGACATTTTTCATAATTGTTATCATCATCCTTATCCTTATCACTTCCACCAGCATCATCATTTTCAGCACAATCACGATGATCGTCATCATCAGCACTAGCATGATGATCATCATCACCATCATCATCTTCCCCATTCGTATCATTATCACCACGATCATCAGCATCCTCATCATCATGATCACCACCATCACCATCACCGGCGTCACCATTATCATCATCACCAGCAGCAGCATCGTCATCCTCACCGCCACCATCATCACCATGACCATGGCGATCCTCAGCATCGTGATCATAGTCATCACCATCATCAAAGTTTCGAACATCAGCATCACCACCGTCATCATCATTACCATCATCATCACCAGCGGCATCATCATCATCACCGTCATCATTACCAGCATCAGCATCACCATCATCATCATCATTACCATCAACATCACCAGCATCATCATTACCATCATAACCATCACCATCATCCTCAGCAAATCTATCATCAACATCATCGCCATCACAGTCATCATCGTGACCACCAGTATCATCACCATAACCATCATCAGCATCGTCATCGTCATCACCAGCATGTCCAGCATCATCAGCATCCTCACCATCATAACCATCATCACCATCACCAGCACCATCATCATCACCGTCATCACAATGACCGTCACCATCATCATTACCAGTATCTTCATTATCATCACCAGTAGCATCAGGATCATCACCGACATCACCACCATCATCATCACAATTGGTAGCATCTTGTTCAACAACATCATCACCATTATCAGCATCATCACCATCATCAGCATCACCATCACGATCATCATGGCCACCACCATCGTCATTAACACCATCGCCACCGCGTCATCATTATTAGCAGCACCATCATTATCATCATTACCATCATCATAGTCATCACCATCGCCAGCAACATCATCATCAGCATTACCACCACCATCGTCATCAACACCATCATCTTCATCAGTATCATAATCATCCGCATCGTCACCGTCAAAATCATTACCGTCACGAGCACCATTGTCATCATCATCATCACAAGCATGACCATCATCATCATGATCACAGTCATCACCATCACCATCATTATGACTGTCAACATCATCATCATCAGCATCATCATCACCACCAAAAATCACCATCATCATCAACAGCATCACCATGATCAGCATCACCATCATCACAGTCATCAGCATCACCACCACCATCCCCATCATCACCGTGAGTATCAGCAACATCATCAGCATTCGCATCATATTCATCCTCACCGGCGTCGTCATCATAGTCACCATCACCATCATCAGCGTCATTCCACTTGTCTTTCTATCATCATCACCATCATCATCATCATCATCACCATCATCTCCATCATCATCATCATCGTCATCATCACCACCATCATCATTATCATCGTCATCATCATCATCATCCGTATCGTTCCTCCGTCCGTTCATCCACTCCTCGTTCTACTCTTCCCCGCCCTCCTGCTTCCTGCAATCCAATCCCCACTCGCAGGGGGGCTTGCTCAGCGCTGTGCCCCCGACGATGGCCGCCACCCTCCCCTGGCCTCCTCGCCCCGTGGGGCGGGGCAGGGCACGGGAAGGCGCAAGGCGAGGACGAGGATGAGACGGGCGGGGGGGGAAGAGAGAAGGGGGGGCATGAAGCGGAGAAGGTCGAGGAGGCGGAGAAGGAGGAGGAGTCCAGGCAGGAGGAGGCCGAGGAGGAAGTCCAATGAGAGGAGGAGGACGACGTCGACGAGGAGGAGGAGGAGGAGGAAGAAGACGACCACGACCGCGACCACGACTACGACCAGGACGAGTGGCACACGTGGGCGACGAGAATGAGGAAGACGATAAGAAGAAGGAGGAGGAGGAGGAGGAGCAGGATCAGAGGCAAATTTACAAGGATAGTTTTGCAGATGGTGATGATGATACTGATGTTGATGATGACGATGTCGTGACGATGACGATCGCGATCGTGGTGTTGGGGGTCATGATGATGCTGATGATGAAGATGATGAGGATGAGGATGAGGGTATGTATGAGGAGGAGGATGAGGATCACGATGGGAATGATGAGGAGGAGGAGGAGGAGGCGGACGCGAAGGCGGATGTGGAAAAGGAGAATGAGGATGAGGAGAAGGACGACGACGACGACGACGACGACGACGACAACGACGACGACGACGGCGACGGCGACGACGACGATGCGGCGGGCAGGGGTCGGGACGACGCCGTGGAGGCCTTTCCCCGCCCCTTCTCCGAGGAGAGGCCGCCGCCCTGGCGGAGGTCCTGGCCGAGGTCTCGTCGGGCGAGAGCAGCGCCTCCGACGCGGAGGGCGCGCCGGAGACGCCGGACGAGCCGCCCGCCCGGAGGGAGCTGCTGAGCGACCAGGAGCGGGGGAAGCGGGGGCGGCAGAAAGGGGGACGATGGCGAGGGGGGGGATATCACAGCGTGGGCCACGGCATTTCCTCGGATTTCATGGTGCCTCCTCTGATTTCACTGCGCTCCTGGCCCCCCCCCGCCCCTGGGCCGCGCACGCGCCGCGGGCCATGATTTGCGCCCCCCCTCTTGGACGCCCCCCTCTTGGCCGCCCCCAAGGGAACGACGGGGGGGGGGGGCGAGCTCGGCGGGGAGGGGGCGACGTTTCGAGGTTCGGGGCGCTCTGGCGGCTCCGCACGTTCTCGGCAGGTTTCGAAGCGCGGTGGGTCTCTTCAGCGGCCGCACCTCGCCGAGAGCGTCGCGGGCGCGCCCGGAGCGTCCCGAACGACCGCCGACGGCCCGAGGCATGCCCCGGAAACCACCGGGGGGGACGGGAGGGGCGCGGAGGCAGAAGGGCGACAGGACGGAAGAGAGGGGAGGGCAGAGAGGGAGGAGAAAGAGAAGGAGGGGGGGGGGGCAGGGGGCAGGGGAAGAGGAGACGGAGAGACGTGGAGAGGGGGAGGGGGAGGCGGAGGACCCATACCCCCTCGCGGTGCAGCTCTTCCCTTCCTCATCCCTGCATGCATTTATGTGCGAACTCTTGTGAAAACATCACGACCGGAGGCTTTTCCCTATTTTCGGCCTTTGGGGGCCTTGCGGGGCCCCCCGGGACCGTCAACAAACGACTCCGGATGAGAAGCCGGTCCCAGGGAAGGGGTCCACACCCCTGGGGGTCGACGGTGTGAAAAAATCACGACGTCGGAGGTCTGGGGAGGAGGAGGAGGAGGAGGAGGAGGAGGAGGAGGAGGAGGAGGAGGAAAAGGAGGGAGGAGGGGAGGAGGAGGAGGAGGAGGAGGAGGAAGATGAGGAGGAGGCGCTTCGCCCCCGTCGTCGCTCGTCTGGCCCGATATGGCGCCGCAGGAGTGGTTGTGCCTGCGCGGGGAGGTCGGGCGCAAGGCCGCCGCCGCCGCGGCGGCTCGGCGGCAGCTCCTGCTGCAGGGCGGCCTGGAGGTCCGCCGCGCGCGCCGCCTGGCCGCGGGGGAGAGGGGCGGACGGCCGCCCAGCCACCAGGGGGAGCTGGGAGGGGGGGGGGGATGAAAGGGGAAGGCGAGGGGGAGGAGGACGAAAGGGGAGGGGGGAGGGAGGGGGAGGAGGACTCCAAGGAGGGGGGAGGAGGGGAGAGGGGGACTCTAAGGAGGGGGAGGAGGACTCTATGGAGGGGGGAGGAGGGGGAGGGGGAGGAGGGGAGGAGGAAGGAGGAGGAGGGAAAGGGGGAGGATGGGGGGGGAGCAAGGGCAGGGGCAGGAGCGAGGGGGGGGGAGGAGAAGCGATGGAGCGATGGAGTGGAGATGGAGGAACCGGGGGGAGGACTGAGGATTCCGAGGACGAACTGGATACGTAGCGTCTGATAACATAGCAATAGTGAAGGGCGAGACATGCGGTCACACGCAGGCACACAGGTACACACGCGTGTGTGTATATATATATAGATGCTACACATATATGTATATACGTATATGTACACATAAATATGTGTATATCTATATACACACGCATACGCACGGACACGTTTGCAAGCACCACGTTGCTGTGCACAGTGCTTCAGGCTCGGATCGGTGCTGTCTGCGTAAGCTGAAGTGCAGCTCTAATTCTTTGGATACAGCCGCAAGGCTCAAAACGGTCCATGGGCAGAGTGCCGCAATTGAGACCTTGCAGCACGCTGGTAGATACGTGCATGTCAAGAGTGCACATGAGTGCACTCAGCCATGGTGCATCATAAACCGTAGACGTTTCCCACTTCGCAGCTGGTGGCAAAGATCAAGCAGCACGATGATGAGGAGGAGGGTGGCCTGTAGGGGGAAAGAGAGAGAGAGAGAGGGAGAAAGAGAATGAGAGAGAGAGAGAGAAAGAGAGGAGGAGGGGAAATAGTTGACACAAACTCTCTACCTGGCTCCCCCCTTCCCACTCCACACTCCCTGTATCACTCTCCCTCCCATCTCCCCTACGTTTCCCCCTCTGCTCCTCTTCATCCACCCCCTCTCTCTCTTATTGCTTTGTTGTCTGTTTTCGCTGCTTGTTTTTTTTTGTTCTCTCTCTCTCTCTCTCTGCTTGTGTCCCTCTCTCTGTCTCACTCTCTCTCTCTCTCATTCTCTCTCTCTCTCTCTGACCCCCCAGACAGTGCTTACACTTCCTTAGGGGTTTTGAGCTGCCTGTCTCTTGGCTGGGCCAGCCGAGGGCTTTACTCCGCTGCCGCCCCCATCGTGCCGCCTCGTGGGCGCCCCGTGCGGCGCCCCGCGCGGCCGGTAGCGTCCGCCGGGGTCGCGCCTCTTTGCCGCCCTCCTCCTCCTCCTCCTCCTCCTTCCTCCTCCTCCTCCTCCCCTCCTCCTCCTCCTCCTCCTCTTTCTCCTCCTTCCTCCTCCTCCTCCTCCTCCTCCTCCTCCTCCTCCCCTCCCCCTCCTCTCTCTCCTCCTCCCCCTCCTCCCCCAGCTCCTCCTTCCTCCTCCCCCTCCTCCCCAGCTCCTCTTCCTCCTCCCCCTCCTCCCCCACTCTCCTCCTCCTCCTCCTCCTCCTCCTCCTCCTCCTCCTCCTCCTCCTCCTCCTCCTCCTCCTCCTCCTCCTCCCCCTACTCCCCCCCCCCCCCCTCTCCCCCTTCCCTCCTCCCCCAACTCCTCCTCCTCCTCCTCCTCCTCCTCCCCCTCTTTTCTCCTCCTTCTCCTCCTCCTCCCCCAGCTCCTCCTCCTCCTCCTTCTCCTCCTCCTCCCCCTCCTCCCCCTGCCGCCTCGTGGGCGCCCGTGGGCGCCCCCGTGGCGGCTGGGGTGGGTCCGCCGAGGCCGCGGGCGCTTTGCCGCCCCCCCGTGCCGCCACGCGTGGGCGCCCCGCTCGAGCCGTGGCGAAGCGTCCCCCGGCGTGCCTATTGGCCCTGCCAAAACAGTGTTATAAGAACCCTCCTCCTCCTCCTCCTCCTCCTCCTCCTCCTCCCTCCTCCTCCTCTTTCTCCTCCTCCTCCTCCTCCTCCTCCTCCTCCTCCTCCTCCTCCTCCCCCTCCTCCTCCCCGTGCCGCCCCGTGGGCGCCCGTCGGCGCCCCCGTGGCGGCTGGGTGGGTCCGCCGAGGCCGCGGGCGCTTTGCCGCCCCCGTGCCGCCACGTGCTGGCGCCCGTTCGAGCAGTGGCGAGGCGTCCCGGCGTGCCTATTGGTCCTGCCAAAGCAGTGTTCTAAGAACCCTCCTCCTCCTCCTCCTCCTCCTCCTCCTCCTCCTCCTCCTCCTCCTCCTCCTCCTCCTCCTTTCTCCTCCTCCTCCTCCTCCTCCTCCTCCTCCTCCTCCTCTCCTCCTCCTCCTTCTCCTCCTCCTCCTCCCCCTCCTCCTCCTCCTCCTCCTCCTCCTCCTCCTCCTCCTCCTCCTTCCCGTTCGAGCAGTGGCGAAGCGTCCCGGCGTACCTATGGTCCTGCCAAAACTTGGAACCCCCAAACCGGGTGGTGAGATACCAGGTGGCGACCTGGAATCCCAAAAAAGGTCACCGGTGGGTTTGGGGACGCGGGGTCACCACCGGGTTTGGTGACCCCTGGACTCACCAGTGTCCGGGACATCCTCGGAAAACCGCACGAGTCCCCAAACCGGGTGGTGACACCAAATCGCCCGACACTCACCGCCAGGTGTTGTCACCACCACGTTTGGGGACTACCAAAAAACAATGTTCTAAGAACCGTTTGTGGCTCCCACGAGATGTTCTCAGAGCATCCCTGGTTGGGGCCGTCTTGGTTTGACACATCGGGCTTATGTTCGAAGAACATTGTTTTTGTTTTTGGAATCTGTTCCGGTTCTAAGAACGCTTCGTGGTAGGGGCATAGGAATGCCGGGACGGTCGGTCTCTGCTCAACCCGTGGGCGCCCCGTGCGGCTGGGTGGGTCCGCCGAGGTCGCGCCGCTTTGCCGCCCCCCTGCCGCCACGTGCGAAGCAGTGGCGAAGCGTTCTGGCTCGCCCACAGGCCTACCGAAGAGTGTGCTCAGAACCCTTTTGCGGTTTCAGCGACATGTTTTTGGGACACTTCTGGCTGGGACGATCTTGCTTAAACCCATCGGGCTCATGGTCTAAGAACATCGTTCTGTTATTGAAGCATTTTTGGGTTCTGCGAACATGTTTCAGGAGGGAGAGAAGCACACAGACATAATTCATCCTCGACTCCCGGGAAACTGCGGGAAAATATCCGGAAGTGGGGGGGGAAGACAAAACCCCAGAACACGTGTGGGGACATATGGGGCACCCGGTTATTTGTGTATTTGCTTACTTGTGTCTCCCAGGGCCCCTTCGATGTCGCGGTGGGCCCGCGGGGATGCCGGGACGGTCGGCTCATATCGTCCGTCCCGGCATTCCCGCAGGCCTACCCAAACCAAAAAAAGAAACAAACAAAGGGATGCCGGGACGGTCGGCCCCTGCGCTCCGAGACGCGGGCCCTCGTCGGCGCCCCCGTGGCGGGGGGAGGGGTTCCGCCGAGGTCTGCCTCTGCTTGTGCCGCCTCGTCTCGGCGGCGACTTGGTGGGCGCCCCGCGCGCGGTGCTCGCGCTTCGGTCGGGCCCGTCCCCCCCCCACAGGAGGCATGCTCAAGGGTAGCCGAGAAAAAAGTTCAAAAGTAGCTAAAAGTAGCCAAGAATAGGAGGAATATTCAAAGATAGCCAAACATAGCCATATGGAATATCCCTCTCCAGGAGGAGCGTTCACGAATGGTCCGGACAATAGTCTGGGGACGATCTTTGTTGACTATGTTTGCCCATTTGGGGGGTCTTGCTTTGAGTGCTTTTACACTTTTCGCCAAAACCCCACAGGAAGAATGCTCAAGAATAGTCAAAAAATAGTCAGGGGACGATTTTGTTGACTATGTTTGTCCACTTGGGGGCTCTTGTTTTGAGTATTTTGTTTCGCCTTTCGCCAACATCCCCCGGCAGGGGGGGGGCCACGCCCGACCTGAGCTCACGCCGCGCCGCCTGCGTCGCGCACCCTCCGCCGCACGGCTGCCGCAGCACAGCTGTCGCGCATCTTGCACCGCACAGCCCGCACCTCGAGCTCCCACCACCCCGTCTCCAGGCTGGGCCACGGCCGCGAGCCTCCTGGGGGGGAGGCCGCGTCGGAGGTGCGCGGGGGAGCGTCAGGCGTGGGCGCCCGAGGCAGCGGATCGCAAGCGGAAGGCAGACGCGGTCACGAAGCTGGACGCGGAGGCGGGAGCCAATCCGTTGACGCGCGTGGCGTGCGGCGGAGCTCTCCCGGACCCGGATGAGCAGACGCAATCATGTCGGAAGACGCGGCAGATGCGCGTGGTGCGCAGAGATTGCGCGGACCTTTTTGTTTCACGGCGGGCGCGGAGTTGGCAGGCCTATCAGTGTTGTGGCAACTGCCGAAGCCAATTTCCGAAGCCAGCTTTCTCCGTGAGGGCTGATAGTGTCGCTCGCGCCGAAAGACGGCACATTGAAATGCAAGTCATGTGAACGATTTCCGTTCGTGTGCCCACTTTAGAGGTGGACAGTGCAATGACGCCGAAGTCCTCGGAAGGAGCACCTAGAAGGAGAGCAAGAGGAAGGGCGACGATTATGAGAAGGATAGTGCTCAAAGGAACAGGAGGAGACGGACGGACGGACGGACGGGGGAGAAAGCAAGAGGATGAGGATGATGATGAGGAGGAGGAGGAGGAGGCGGAGGAGGGAGGAGGAGACGGCTTTGTGCGGGCTCCCACGCCGTCGAATGTCGAATGGCCGTCGGCCCATCCCGCCGTCACCGTGTCGGGCTGTGGGTCAGGATCTTCAGGGGGCCTCCGGCCCATCCCGCCACCATGCTAATGTTGTGGGATGGAGGTCTTCATGGGGAGTTTCGCGGGCTCTCTTCGGAATGTCTGCGAGGCTCTTTGAGGAAGGCGGCAATGGTGGGGTAGTTGGGAGCCGCGTGGGAGCCTCTAGGGAGCTTTGGGGGGTCTCTTGGGGCTTCCGCAAAGGCTGGTTTGGGGGCCTCGTGGCGCGTCTTGGGGGCCTCTTGGGGGGCACCTGAAGTTTTTTGGGGGCCTCTTGCGTCCTCTTGGGTGCATCTTTGACCGGGAAGCTCGGAGTATCTGCTTGAGTTCCTGCTTTTCGGTTTTTTGGGGAGCCGCCTTGGCGCTTTCTCGGGGCCGTCTTGGGGTTTCATGGGGGTCTTTTGCAGCGGCCTTGAGGGCCTCCTCGGCCGTCTTCAGCGCCGTGAGTGCGGAAAAGTTGTACATGCTTTGGATTTCGTTTCCGGAGGGAGTTGGACGTCTTTTGTTGTTGAAACATCTGGGCCATCTTGGAAGGGCTCTTGGAAGCTTTTTGGGCCGTCTTGGGGGCATCTTGGGCCACCTGGAGGTAATCTTGGTCGCTTGGAACGACCTTTCAGCGACTCAGGGCCTTCCTGGACTGTCTTGGGCGCGTCTTCGGGCCCTCTTGGGCCGCCGGGGAGCCCTCTATCCCCCCATGCCGCGTTCGTTCCCGGGCCATGGGAGCGGGGCCGGGGGGGGGGTCGAAGTCTCGGTTTGGGGTCCTTGGGGGGGCGGATAGTGGGGGGGCAGACGCCTCACACGCCTAGAGACCCACCAGGGGTCGTTGGATTACATGACATAGAGTATACCACACCTCTTGCACGGCATAACTTTCACCACCGTAGCTCACACCGCAGCAAACAATACATGGGTTACACCACACCGCTTCCGCCGCAGGCCCACTGCCTTGGGTCCACACAAGCTGGCACCATTCGTTGTATGGTTGAGGTGTTTGTGTGGTCGTATCGTTTTATGTGTCTCTCTCCCTCTCTCTTTCTGTCTCCCTTTTTATTTCTTTCGCTATGTCTCCCTCTTCTCTCCACTTCCTCCATATTCTGTCTACCCCTCTCGTCTGCCATGCTGCAGAGCCTACATGTTGACGAGCTTGCGAGCTCAGCAACGGCAGGGCGCGTGCGGCAAAGGAGGGGAAGATGAGGGCGGATCCCGGAGGAAGGCGGGAGAGGGGTGGAGCCAGGGCCAGGGCTTGGGCAAGGGGGAGCGGGAGGAGGATCACTGCGACGACGCCAGTGATCCACGTCCCCCTCGCCCTGGGGATAATGATGATGATGGTGATAATGGATGATGATGAATGGTGGATGGTGGATGATGGTGATGGGTGGTGGATGACGATGCTGATGATGATGGTGGTGGCTATGATGATAATGGACATGATGATGCTGATGATGATGGTGATTGTGATGACGATGACGACGGTGGTGATGATGATGATGATGATGATGGTGGTGGTGGTGATGATGATGATGATGATGATGATAATGAAAATGATGAGGATGAGGATGATGGTGAAGATGATGATGATGCTGCTGATGATGATGACGACGTTGATGAGTATGATGATGATGCTGCCTCTGATGATGATGATGATGATGATGATGATGATGATGATGATGATGATGATGATGATGATGATGATGATGATGATGATGATGATGATGGTGATGATGGTGATGATGACGACGCTGGTGACGATGACGATGATGATGGCTGTGATGGTGGCGGCGGTGATGATGTTTACCGGCAAGCCTCGTCGCCCCCAGGCGAAGCGGTTGCCGTCCGCCACCCCTCGCGACACTCGGGGGGCTCCGTGGGCGCCTCCTCGGCGCCACCGCGCTCGGCGGGGGCGCGCGCACGGCCCAGCCGTCCCCTCTGCCGTGTGGCCGTGCCGCCTCCCTCCGGCCGAGGAGGCGCAGGCACGGCCAGAGGCGCGTGGCTCGGCCGCGACGGGCCCCCCCCTCCAGCTGGGCCCCGCTCGGACGGCGTCGGAGGCTCGCGCCGCACCGCCGATGCAGCTCGGCCTGGAGCCCGAGGTCCTCCGCGCCGACGGCGGCGCCGATGCCTCGCCGAGGCGTCGGCGCTGCGGCGCGAGCCTCCGATCCCGTCTGCTCGGGCCCCATCTGTGCGGGCCCACTGGGCTTTTCCATGCGGCACCTGGCGCGCACCGTCGGCGGATCGGGCGGTGCTGGCTCCACCGGCGCCCCCCTGCCAGGTCCGCGGATCCGTAGTCCACGTCAGCGCTCGCCTGACAGCGTCCTCGTCGTCGTAGTCGTCGTCGTCGGGATCGTCGTCGGCCATGTTTGACTCAAGGCATGTTGTTTTGAGTCGGCAAGCGCGGTGCATCTTCGTACTTCACCCTCCGCCCACTCTTCCACGACCATGTCTTATTAGTATCGTCGTGATACCAGGGCTGACTCGCCGTCCGAGTCAGCATGGATACGAGCATTGCTTAGAAAGTTCAGTTTCCAAGTGGATTATTCCGATACGCAGATACAGCAAACAGGCTGCGAGTTTTCTCGTGTCCGGCAACAACTCCGAGTCTGCCACGGAAAGCCTCGGAACAAGTTGGATGCTCTATTGTTCAAGAATGCCGAAGGGGCATCTTTGAATCCTGAGGCCGTGTTTTTCGTTCCCATGCACGCTCAGGTTGAAATCGATGTAAGTCCAAATGACAGCTCCGTGCGCAGAGCGTTTTCAGAAATACGATGTCGAACATTTCAAGCAGGTTGACGTTTTCTCTTTACGCTCGTAAACCCAATAGCTTCGAGACTCGATACCCCACCCTTTGGAAAGGAGGGCTTTGGGGAATAGTACAGTAACCGCTTCAAGCATATGAGTTTGTCCTCGGTGTGTTTTTCAAGCGGTTGCTGCAGAGCATTTCCCATTAGTGTTGGCCATTGTGAGGGCCAGATTGAAAGCGATTCACATGTCGGGAAATTCACCATGGATGATCTTGTGGAAGTGGCGCAACGTCAATGGTACGTGAAAGTGACAGGCGTAGTTCATGACATCCCTACGCTGACTGTTAACGTAGAGAAGATACCACCGTCTATCGTCCGGGAACCGATGCCAGATCTGGAGTGACTTCAAGTAACGGCCACCGAACACGAAGAACATCTGACCCCACTTGCCCGTGACCCTCATGCTTGCCGAGATCGAACGAGCGCCTGGAACAAGTCTACCGCATTAAGACAGGAGGCTGCGCCTATTCTCATAGCTGCCGGGGCCTCATTGTTCGTGACAAAGCAAGAGCATGCAGAGAACCAACGATTGATTACCAAGGCCATGTTTCAAAACAAAATGGTTAGTTTGGTGCTTCGGGCCGTCGTGAAAGGAGATGTCGGCAAGACAACGTTGCTGTCGAACCGCGTGCGTGTTTAATCGCTAGTCTTGCACTCTTTCGGAAGGTTTATCAACGACTGAGTTTGGATGATTTGCTGAACCCTTGCGCATAGGAGAAAATGGGCTTGTGCGAATTTGGCTCAAAATTCAATCCCGTACCAGGTGATATATGGATTTGTTGTATTTCGTTTGTGTTGCATGAGATTTCTGATCCAGTTATGGACCTCCATTGGTGGGCGGGAGTGTCGCTTCGGAGGCTTCCCACGCTCGGCAAATTCCAGAGGCTACTGCTGTGCATCCTCGTCTGATGATCCCCGCATGCCGCGCTTCTTGACCGCTTTCTCCGCCCCTGACCTCGGCCGTGTGGGCTCCCCGCCTGGCTTCGCTGCCCTCGCTCTCGTGGCTCCCCGCTTGCAGGCCAGAGCCTCTTGCTATGCCACCCGATGCATAGCGGTCGGGCCAGGGAGCCACCGCTGCATCCGTCCTGGCTTGGCACGGCCCAGCACCCTCTTCGACGCCGAGCCCACCGCGACGACCGAGTCGAGTCGAGTCGAGTCGAGTCGTCGTGGGCGTCGGCGTCTTCGCCGCCGACCGCTCGGACGCCGCCCCCGCGGGCCGCCCCCGCGGGCCCTCCGCCCCGTGCCGTCGGGGAGGAGCCACCGGCGGGGCCCGCGTGGAGGGGGGCCCCCGCGGCCCACCTGGGGGCCGGCCTGCCGCAGCCCTGCGGCAGGCCGGGCCGCGCAGGGGCGCGCCCAGCGCGGTGGCGCGGAGTGATGGTGATGGTGCTGGTGATGACGATGACGACGATGATGCCGATGATGCCGATGATGACCACGATGAGGATGGGGATGATGTTGGTTATGACGATGGTGGTGGTGGTGGTGTTGACGACGGTGCAGATGTCGAGGAGGCCTGTGGTGGCTGCGGTGCTGATGGTGGTGATGTGGGTGGGCGTGGCGACGGCGGAGGATGACAGGGATGAGGTGTAAGCCGAGGAGGCTTCGTAGGCTGCATTGGGAACAGTTCTCGCACGCTGGATGGAAGGGGGTCGGTAATCTCATCCATACGGCCATACGGTGGGCTTCCTGCTTCCATGGCGGAGGATGAGGAGGAAGAGAGGGACGATAATGAGGAAGAGGGAGAGGAGGAGAAGAAAAAGGAGGAGGAAGAGGAGGAGGATGATAGCGAGGGCGAGGAGGAGGAGGAGGAGGAGGAGGCTGAGGATCAGGAGGAAAAGAATGGAAGGGAGGGAAACAGGATGGCTGTCAGGGGGTGTTGAGAGTTTGTGGCGACAGCGTGGAGAAAGCAGGGTTGCCGCGTGAGAGGACGTGGACAATGCCGTGACGCTGTCCGAGGCTTCCATCGGCTGCTCTTCAATGTTTTGCGTCTGATCAGCTGTTTGTTGAAGGATAGCGCAGACACGCAGTGCAAAACATACGAACAGAGCGAGTTGACAAGAAGATTTCAAAAGGAGCGTGGGCGTCATTTCTTAGTGATTAGCCCTGCTCGCCAGATTTTGCTTTGCCGCTGGCTCCAGGGTCCACCCCTCAGGGCCGCCCAACCCCACACGGATCCCACCATGAGTTGCCCTGTTCATTGGGAGCCTCCGATGTTGCTGGCCGCAGCCTCCGACCCCGCCATGTAGATATGTGTATATATATACATATATATATAGAGAGAGAGAGAGAGAGAAAGAGAGAGAGAGAGAGAATGCTCCCACTCTACAGGGTCTCACCTCATGAGGTCTGGCCCCGCAGGGCCCACCCCGGTGGGTTCCGCCCGTAGGGTTCGACCCCAGAGGGTCTCATCTCATTGGGTCCCGCCCCACAGGGACCCTCGTCAAAAGGTCCCACTCCCAAGGGTCTAGCGCCGCACGCGCGCGCACATTTCAGAACATGTTCAAGGTCATCGTCGTTCAAACAGGCTTGGCCGAAAACTCATACTGCCAAGCGAAAAACGACAGATGTATGTGTACGCCCACTCGCTGTTTTCATATTAAAGAACAGCCACCAGCCAATTGAAACCACGCGGACCATACGCAAGCGCATTTTCGAAAGCACTCAACAATCATCGACCACCCGCCACCTCGCTCAAATCTGCCGGTCCCCTTTCGGGGCCACCAGGCTGCTAGGGCGAGGATTACAGCTCCCTGTTCCAGTTGCAGTTTCCAGTGTCCACTGTTACAGTATTGCTTTCTGCTTCCTTCCTGTTAATTGTTGCTGAACGCGCGAGGGGGGGGGAGCCGAATAGCTTTCTGGTTAGCGCCCCCGAATCGCATTGTCCGAATTCCCGAGGGGGTCGTGGGACACTTAAAAATACATGATATTCGCGCCCCCGAGGCCATACTCCCTCGTAGATTACTCATGATTCGCGTCCCGGAGGCCATACACCTTTGTAAGTTACGCGATCTTCGCGTTCCCGAAGCCATAATCTGTTTGTACATTACTTTGTAATCGAGTCCCCGAAGCCATAAACCTTGGTAAGTTACGCAATAATTGCGCCCCCGAGACCATAAACCCAAGCACATTTCGCAATATTCGCGTCCCCAAGGCCGTAAACCTTTGTAAATTACGCCATGCTGTGCGTCCCCGGGGCCAAACACCCTCGCAAATTAAACAATATTCGCGCCCCCGAGGCCACTCGCCCTTCCTGGTTTACGCGATATGTACGCCCCCGAGGCCATCCACTTTTTGTGAATTAGGCAAAAGTTGCGTTCACGAGGCCACAAACCCTTTTAAATTACACCATATTTTCGTCCCCGAAGCCATACACATTTGTAAATACCCAATATTCGCACGACCGAAGCCATAAACCATCGTAAATTAATCTTGGCCCTGGTGTGAAGTCCCGGCGTTGGTTCACGTCAGCGTCCAGACATCCCAACACAGCTCTGGCAAGTCCCATTCTGAGAGAGGGGGGCCGGCGGCACGGGGGCGAAACCTTTACGGATTCCACCATCGCGTGGCCATACGCGCGGGCTCCCGCGCGTGCCTGTTGAAACCATTGCCAAACCAGTCGTGCCCGAAACATTGCAACATACATGTGCTCAGGCACATGGGAATCAATTGTATTCTGGTGGCCTTCGGCCAGTGCCGCCGATCCGGGTCGCTTGGGGTGCCCCCCGGACTGGGCGGCGACACTTCGCCGACAGACACGCACGCACACGCACACGCGTCAGGCACATGGAAATCAATTGTGTTAGCGGTCGCAAATCTGTCAGGGTGTCAGCGCGCGCGCACTCACTTTCACCGCCTTCGCCACCACCAGCGCCACCAACATTGCCAGCATCATCGGTGCCAGTGTCCTCAGAATCATCATTTCTAGTGCCTTCATCACTTTCGTCGGCATCGTCTTCGTCGTCGTTCCCGTCATCATCGCCACCTCCACCATCATCATCACCACTTTCTTCATGATCCTCACCATCATCACCATCATCATAATTCTACTAAGAGTTCTCATCATCTCGATCATTCATCCTCTTCATCATTACCATCACCATCATCGCCGTCGTCGTTGCCTTTGTCGTCGTCGTCGTCTCCGGACCCATCGCCAGCATGATCCATGTATCCGCGCGAGCAGGGTCCGCGCGCCATTACAGTATGCCTCTTGAGATCTGCGCTCAACCTCCCGCGGGTAACTTCATTCACGCCCGACAGAGTTTCTCTCGAACCAGTTGTTGGTGGGAGGGGAGCACGGGAAGTTGTCACGTGCGGATGCTGGCGGGAACAACATCCCACGAGAAGGAATGAGGCTCCATCTCCCTGCCGATTCCAGGGAACGCCGCCGCAAGCCGCGCATCTTCTCCTTGGCGTTCAGCACGACATGTTCCCCCGAACCGTGGCATCAGATCATCCGCATCGGGCCACTCCAAGAATGGGTGCCAGCTCCTTTATCTCCGTCAAACAGTCCGTATATGCGGGGCGCGTGCGTTGAGCTAAGACGTGCGTTCTCCACGCATCCTTTGCGAACCACGTTGCGCTGGACACCTGCGCGCGCCGCCGCATTTCAAACCAGATCTGGACCATTTCAAAACAGATCCGGTCAACTAATCAAACAGAAGCGCTTTCAAACTAAAGAAACATGGCTGACTTTTGCGCGCGTGCTCGTTTCAGCCAGAAGGTGAATTACGGCTTCGGGCCATGTTGTACATTGAGGTCATGCGAGCCACACGTGCGCGCAAGCCGAAACAAGTTCAACAACCATCGTGCGCCCGCCAGCCTTGTCAAACAGCAAAATGCGTGCTACGAGCGAGCGCCTCCGCGCGCACACGTTCAAGTTCGGCCAAGACTGTTTTCCTAGGTTGTTCAACACAGATGGGATCATTTTGTATGCCAACCCACATAAGTCAGACATTATCATGATTTTCGGGCGCGCACTTCCTCATCATCCCCATCAGGACAGATGCTATCACCATCGCCAGCGTTATCATTGCCACCGCCCTCACAATCGCATCATGACCATCGTCATCACTACCACCGCCGCCGCCGCAATGATTGTCATTGTTGATGGCGTCGCCTTTGCCGGATTTCTGCACGCGCGTTTCAGCATCATCTTCACCAGCACCACCATCGTCATCATCGCCAACGTTCTCTTTGCCACAGCCATAATCATCACCAGCGCCATCGCCACCACCCTCGTCGTCTTCGCCGACATCTTTCCCACCGCCGTCATGGGCATAGTCATTGCTGTCGCCGCTGTCGCCGCCCAGTGGAGTTTTGCCCGTAAGTTGCGGGTGGGTGGGCGGGGTGTTTGCGCCAGTGCTGGAGGTGGGCACGCGCGGATGCGGTCAAAATTCCTGGCGCATTGTTTATGACCTCTCCTACAAGGGATTCGACTTTACTTCCCCGCCGAGGCTGGGATGATCCACCCTCTCTTCATTTTCTTGGTTCGTGTATCATGTATTTTTATTAAAGTATTCATCGGATTCCTGGTCGTTCAGCTTGGATATCGGCTTGTAGCTTGCCATCTGGGCTGGTAGCGACACTCCCCGGCCACCGCTTGCAAATGAAAGTAGGCGTGCGCATGCGTTGATCAAGTACGCGTTCGTCAAGAATCCCTTACGGAGTACATGATGCGGGCTAAATGCGAGCGCCGCCGCGCGCGCATCTTAAACTCACGTCTTGCTGTTTTCAATTGAGTCACGTGCGCTACATTGCTACGGAGCTACTGCAAACATTGTAGAGCTGCCGGAATGTTGTGCGCGCCGACTTGATGCAAAGATAAGAAGTCATCGGTTTTTCATCCGTTCTGTCAAATGATACCGTTCGGGTCTCTCGCGTGCGCATGCTCGGAAAACATTCAACCACCATCGCCATCCCAACAAGTCTGTCAAATACACAATTCGGGCCACGAGCGCGCGTCTCCTCGCGCGCAGGTGGAAGTCCTTCAACAACCATGTGTTCACGAAGCATGTCAGCACGGATGTGTTCAAACACGCGCGAAGAGCCAATTGCATTCAGCAGAGATGGGCGAGGAGTTCAGAGCTCCTGCGGGCACGTACTTCCTGATCACTCTCACCAAAACGTTTCCATCATCGCCAGCGCCATCGTTGCCATCGTCTTCGTCTGCATCACCTTCACCATTGTCATCATCACGGCCGCCGTCACCATCGTCATCGTCAATGTGGTCAGCCTCGTGAAATTTCCGCTCGCGGGCACTCCTTGATCATTAAATTGATCATCATCATTAACATCATCATCATCATCATCATCATCATCATCATCATCATCATCATCATCATCATCATCATCATCATCATCATCATCATCGTTACCACCAACCCCGTCGTCATCATCATCGCCAGCGTCATCGCCTCCACCGTCTTTCTCATCATCACCACCAGCTCCGTCACCATCATCGTCGTTCTTGTCGTCGACATCGCAATGTCCCCTATCACTGCTGCCGTCGCCATCTGCACCGGCGTTACCACCGCTGCCGTCGCCATCGTCATTGGTGCCGCAGTCGTCACCATCGCCACCGCCATTTCGCGACCTGCAGGACGGACTTGTCTGCGCGGTTGTGTTCCACGCGCCTGCGCCCTTGTTGAGATCAGGGCCAGAGGAGCTTCGCCAACGAGTTGCGGGCGGGCGGGGAATGCTTGCACGAGCGTGGGGGGGTGGTCGCGCGCGCACGCTGCGCGGGTTGAGCATGCTCCTCTCGAGAGACGAATGCACTCCACCACCCTCCCGAGCCTGGGGTCATCCGCACCCCTTTTGGGGTGAGGCAATGTACGTGCGATTCTGCCTCATCGCTCATTTTGCATCTGGTGTCGTGGCCTCATACGGTGGAAGACCCATGCCAAGAAACGCCCTGCTCTCCTCCAGGTTGCCCTGGGCTTCTTGGGCTTCGGGCCCCT